GCACCTGCAGCGCTTCTGCCAGCGGAGAAAAACATAATATAATAAAGCTAGGCTATATATATAACAAATAAATAGGCCTATACGAGAAACATATTTTTACTTAAATTATAAATTAAGAAAACGAAAGAAAAACTGTGCAACAAATAGCCTAGTATGCAGAGTTTGAACGGTTCATTTTGTGCTGCGCGAAAGGAAACAGACGGCAGAAAGCGGCATCCGATTTTTCTTTAGGCTTATTTTACAAAAGCACAAAGATTTGTTTTTATTGTGAATGTACACAAATAAAAGCAAACCTTTTACAATTCTGATTATCTTTATGACTAAAAGGAGTAGTTGCTTCCACTGTTAGAAGAAAAAAATTCAAGTGATTGCGGCGGCACCGCATGCGCGCACACAGTTAAGCATTGCTACCTTGACAATGCAGACTGTTCATTATGATAATAAAATACAGTCAGTCAAACATAAGGGAAACAACACACTGCTCAGTTCAAATATGTAGTAAAGTCTGTGCCGTTACGCGTTATCACCGTACCGCCGTGATGTTATGCAAAACATTTTGTTTTACGTGGATATTGGAACGTGAGTGACGTACATAATAAATAATATTTTGGCATTCAAATACATCGCGAATACAGAAACATTTGATTTTGTGTGGAATGAGACCCAACGTTGGTTTGAGTTTCGTTTTAGCCTAAATGAATTCGTTTTGGCTTGTTTATATTGCTATAGGCTAGCTTCTTATATTTATAATTCTTGTTCTTTTCTAAATACTGTTAATTGAAAGGATTTGTTGTGGAGTGAGGGGAACTAAAATAGCCTAGCTATGTTTACAGTGTTTATTATAATGTTTGTAAACATTTCGCGTCGGCATTAGGCCTATTTCTGAATGAAATAATAAAATGTGACATATTTTCTGCTTGCTTTTTTTTGTTTTCTTCTAAAAAACACTTTTTTATATACGCGTAGCGTATTTTAACCATGCAGCAAACCTTTTTAAATATTTTGATAAATTACTGAAAATAAATTAATAAATGACTTTTTAAACCGTCAAACTGATTGTATTAATCGGTCAAAAATTCTTACGGTCGGTTAATGGTTAACCGGTTAAAATGAACATCCCTACTGACAAGTGCTCCAGTCCCTGCTGCAGAGAAACACCCCATAACAGGATATTACCACCTCCATGCTTTACTGTAGGAGTGCTGTTATTTGGCTAGTGAGCTGTATTGGATTTGGTGTTGAGGCCAAACAATTCAATTTTCATCTGTCTCAGAATCTTCAAGGTGCATTTTGGCAAAGCTCATTCTTGCAGCCCTCCCATACAAGCCACATTTGTGCCACATTGTAGCCACATTGATAAAGCCGTTGAAATGTTTTTTCTATCCATCATCTGACTTGTGCTTGTCCACAACTTTATCCCAGAGATCTTTTGACAATGTCTTGCCACCCATAGTTGATTGTTTGCTTCAGGTGCACTACCAAAGACTGAAATGCTCCAGGAAAGCTCTTTTCATGCTGAGCTAATCAAAATTACCACAGCTGATCACAGTTGAAAGTCAAATGGCTTTGTGTGCCATTGAGAAGGTGATTAGCTACCTTATTAGTGTGTGTGTGTGTGTGTGTGTGTGTGTGTGTATGTATATATATATGCTATAATAAACAGGGATAGCAAAGAGGCAACATTCAATGTCCTTTTTTATGTTTTATGTACTTGTGGTTCCTCTGTTCCCATTCGAAGGATATTCTGTGTTAACAGTAATACATTTGAGACAAGGGTGACAGATGAGAAAGACTTCTTAGAAGCTATGCACTGGTCGACTCTTCATTGCTCATGTGTTCCGTGGGCAGCGGAACAGATGGCTAACATTTATGAATGCCTGGGCGGTGCTCCATTATTTCACCTTTTCAAAAAGCATTTGAGTGGCGGCCTGTCAAAAGGCCAGCTGAGAGTCACCACAAGCTACACAGTTCCACCACATCCTCTCAATGTCAATACCCAAGAGTGTGTGTGGGGAATAAAGTGAGCCGGTGTATTTCTCCCACCAATAAAATACACTTGCTGTAAACAGTTGACAGTATGGTCATCAGCATGCCCAGACTGAATCGGTACCCACAAAACTCAGCAGAAAGACTTTTTATGCAGAATTCTGCAGAAATTTCTGCCCAAAAATCAGTGCAGAAAATGCAATAAAAATATGCAATTTTTTTCTGGGCCATCCGCCTGAGACAAACTGTGGGCACATTGTACAAATGTTAAGCTGCTGAAGTCATAAAATACTAATAATATTAATAATAATATAATAATAATATTTGTTTATGACCGTGTATCTAGGAGCCTTAAAAAATTGTGGAGGTAAAAGAAATTTTTTGCTGTGCTTTTCAGTTTCACTGTTGCTGATATGATTAGCAAATTTTAAAAAGTTCTGCTGGCTGCCCAGTGGCAGAAATAATCAGACTCTTGGGTATAATATAGATAGACACAAGGAAGACTTTGCTCCCAGTCTGTCAGTGTCAGTTTTTTTTTTTTTGCCAACCTGCTGTAATACACATCAAATGCCTATCAACAGAGACAGCAAACTCTAGATTTATGAGAATGAGTCAAATTAAACATGATGATGAATCAACAGTAAGACATGCCCTTCTCCAAATGTTGTTTATGGGTTTAACTCAATTTGGAGAGAAGGAGACTGCAAAGGCCATTTTTCAGCTGCAATATCATTAGTGCAACATGACAGCAATTACACAGGATGCTTAATCCATAACGGTGGCGCAGACGGGAAACAGCACTGATAGAGAGCCAAAGTGCTGCTGTGTCACGTTAGTCACAAGCTTTCTGCTGTCCAAAGTCAACACACAGGAGAGTAACTAACTATAAGCAGTGATGCTACTAACTTAAAAATTTTTTTTTTAGTACTGTGAATACTTTTTCCAACAGGTAGAAGTGCGGTGTGACAGAACACTACATTACTCTATTTTTTGTCACATTTTATTTTATAGCAGAGCAAGCTGAGCCAATGATCAGACATGCTCTGCCTTTTTTGTCATGCAGAGTTCATATAAATAAACAATTCAATATCAAATCAAATTTACCAATCAAAAAAAAAACAGATCACTGATTTATTTTATCTCCTGCATATTTTTGAGGTAGTATTTTGGAATTAGTATTATAAATTAGCTTTCTTGGATATTTAGAATCTAATTTGAGCTTAAGTTCAATTTAATGCAAAAAAAAGTATCATCTGACAGTTTATAAACTGCTTAAAATTCTGAGTAGCTTTAAAGATTTAAAGTGGCTTCTCCAACACTGAATAATAATAAGTTTCACTCTTCTCATATTTCTTCATAGCTGCACAAAACCGACACGGTTCCTGGCTTCCTCTCTCTTGCCCTTACGGGTTCAACAACATCAGTATCCCAAGCTGCATTACAAGCCATGTGGCCTTCTCAAATATTTATAATGTTACTTGACACACACACACACACACACACACACACACACACACACACAAGAGCACAGGAACCTGTCTCCTCAAAGGTCCCCCCTCAAAGGACATGGATCGCATTTCATGGAGAGACCTTCCATTGTAATTTCATAGTTGTTCTTAAAAACACAAATAAATAAAAAGGCTTGACATTTCTATATTTATATCTCTTTAATTGATTCTCTCCACACACATTCCCTCAGGGTACGTTAATCAGGAGAGTTGATCAGGCAGAACTGCGAAACACAGCCAAGCAGTGACCCGTGCTGGGCCTCGGCTGACTGAGAGAGATGGAGACCAGCGTTATCTTATTCCCCAGTTAGTCCTTCTGTTCTCGGGAATGACATGATAAGGCTTTATTGACCACTCTGCTTTCAGCTTAGCATGGTGGAGAGGCCGTGGACCAAAGACAGTCAAAGGATATGCATGTAATGTTGTTTTTTACGATTCACCGCAAATATACTAAAATATTATATTTTGTCATATTCTCTTGAGTCCTTCGTTTTGTCCTCTAAATGCTATAATGTCATTGAAAGACATACATGATGAGATTTCACAGCTGAATTTCCATACTCTGACTGCCATGTTAGATTATGTGCATTTAATATTTGAACTTGCTAAAAACACAAAATTGTGTGTCTGTTTTCTGTGTAGGTCTAAAACGCTGCTACACATGTGATGTCTGCAGTGTCACACTGAATTCAGTGGCACAGTATCATGCACACCTGCAGGGCTCCAAGCACCAAAACAAGTAAGTGCCAACATGCACCTCATGCAAGAAAACGGCTTGTGTTGTGGAGGTTGTTTTTTTTATTTAATTCATGCAAAATGTGTTTGCTCTTTGTATTAATTGTTTAATATCAGTAAAATAAAGTGTAATGAATTTCAATTAAATGTACATTTATAAGTTAATCCATACAAAAAGTATAGAAATTTGTAAATAGTTGTATGAAATAGCAAAAATTAAGTAATTGTGTGAAAACAATGGACTCTATGCAAAGTCTCTTCCACATAGCCTTATTGTCACCACAACATCCAGTGCAGAGAACTGCATAGAAATTGTGAGAACACTAAGCTCAAAATTAAACATTGAGGAAAATGTTGCATAGCATATCATGGCACAGCAATGTAGATACAATCCACCTCCAAGTGGCTGACGGTATTTAAAGCTTCTGGAACTCATTACTAAAATGTTTTATTTTAATATAATGACATAAAATGTTGAATGTTACTTCACACACACACACACACACACACACACACACACACACACACAAGAGCACAGGAACCTGTCTCCTCAAAGGTCCCCCCTCAAAGGACATGGATCGCATTTCATGGAGAGACCTTCCATTGTAATTTCATAGTTGTTCTTAAAAACACAAATAAATAAAAAGGCTTGACATTTCTATATTTATATCTCTTTAATTGATTCTCTCCACACACATTCCCTCAGGGTACGTTAATCAGGAGAGTTGATCAGGCAGAACTGCGAAACACAGCCAAGCAGTGACCCGTGCTGGGCCTCGGCTGACTGAGAGAGATGGAGACCAGCGTTATCTTATTCCCCAGTTAGTCCTTCTGTTCTCGGGAATGACATGATAAGGCTTTATTGACCACTCTGCTTTCAGCTTAGCATGGTGGAGAGGCCGTGGACCAAAGACAGTCAAAGGATATGCATGTAATGTTGTTTTTTACGATTCACCGCAAATATACTAAAATATTATATTTTGTCATATTCTCTTGAGTCCTTCGTTTTGTCCTCTAAATGCTATAATGTCATTGAAAGACATACATGATGAGATTTCACAGCTGAATTTCCATACTCTGACTGCCATGTTAGATTATGTGCATTTAATATTTGAACTTGCTAAAAACACAAAATTGTGTGTCTGTTTTCTGTGTAGGTCTAAAACGCTGCTACACATGTGATGTCTGCAGTGTCACACTGAATTCAGTGGCACAGTATCATGCACACCTGCAGGGCTCCAAGCACCAAAACAAGTAAGTGCCAACATGCACCTCATGCAAGAAAACGGCTTGTGTTGTGGAGGTTGTTTTTTTTATTTAATTCATGCAAAATGTGTTTGCTCTTTGTATTAATTGTTTAATATCAGTAAAATAAAGTGTAATGAATTTCAATTAAATGTACATTTATAAGTTAATCCATACAAAAAGTATAGAAATTTGTAAATAGTTGTATGAAATAGCAAAAATTAAGTAATTGTGTGAAAACAATGGACTCTATGCAAAGTCTCTTCCACATAGCCTTATTGTCACCACAACATCCAGTGCAGAGAACTGCATAGAAATTGTGAGAACACTAAGCTCAAAATTAAACATTGAGGAAAATGTTGCATAGCATATCATGGCACAGCAATGTAGATACAATCCACCTCCAAGTGGCTGACGGTATTTAAAGCTTCTGGAACTCATTACTAAAATGTTTTATTTTAATATAATGACATAAAATGTTGTTTACTCTAGTTAAAAAATATATCCATAATATAGAGTTTTGTAATATAATTAGTTAATTAGTAATTAGTAGAAAGAGCTTCCTACTATGACAATTTGCTATTGGACAATATGTAGGAACTATGTAGGCAGTACATTGTGCATTAGGTCTATTGTGTTTCTTTTCCGTTCGATATCTATCAACTAAAGTGACGTATTGAATTTGTAACTCATTGTACTAGGTGATAATGATAGTAATACAAATGGAGACTAAACTCAATAGTTTAGTGTACTAAACAGATTTTCTGGAAGTGGAGTTTTTATTCCCATTTTTATACTTGTAAATTGAGACCTGTTTTTCTACTTTATCGTATGCTTGCTCACAGTCTTTCAGTCCTCTGAATTGGCAGTCTGACTGTTCGGAACCTCCCCCTTCTTCAACACTCTGCTCCAAGTGTATTTGAAGCAATTACTCCATAATTTTGATACTGACCCCAGTTCCTCTGTTTACACACACATGCGAGTCATTAGCTGTGCAAACATTAGGAGCACATCCAAAATTGAGATTTTAGTGAGCACTAAGACTAAACTTTGTCCGTTCTCCTTTACTTATTAAAAATCCTTCTCCATTTCTCTCACTAGACAAAATCAGCTGTTCTATAACTCTGTGCCCCCCCTCCCCCCTTTAAAATTCAGACTCCATCTACATAGCTGTCAGATGTCCAGCCCTTTTTTTTCATCTGCTGCCATCATATTGGATGTCTTCCCTGTTGTGTGGTCCAGTAGCATGTTTTGGGGGTGTTCTGCACTCTGCCTGCTGATCCTTATCCAGGTTGTTTGTTGTGAGTGGACCACCTCAACGAGTTGACTGATTGAGACACAAATACATACTGTCACACAAACCAGAGTGGCTCTGAGAGTTCACTCCACAAGTATTTCACTATTTCATTTGATAAAAACAGTCATCAGATGTACACAGAAACTCAAAGGTATTCACTACAACCCCCCAAAAGGAAAGTTTGGTTCAACCTGTAGAAATTATGAAGTAATAACAATAATAGCAATACACACACACACACACATCCACAATGAGGAAATTCAGTTCTCGCTCCTTGTGGGGGGATGGTGAAACAAATGACCCTCCGTGATAGAGTACCGATAAGTCTGCTGATAAATAGACACACTCCATGTCTCCTCCGACAGACTAAATGAACCCTCCTGCCTCTTCCCTTCTCTCTTCAATCAAGCATGCTCCTAGCCAACAAGCCAGATATGTTTCCTCTGCCAAATTGAGAACAACCTTATATTCAGTAATTCAATTCAGTTCTAAGTGATGTATGCATTATCCACACTCCATTAGAGTATTTCAGTTTGGGGGAACACATTTCTCTTTCTCTTATTTGAGGGCATTCATTGCTGATGAATGTGGTATCTCCATCTAGGACTATGACATATGATGGAGCAGGTAACAGTGAACTGTTGTCTGATATGAACATAATATGAACATTTGACTGATATGAAGTGCTCTGTATATGCAGCAACTCTGTGTCACACAAAAAGGGCTTTTGTTGTGAAGCATACTGGGCAGTTTGACATTTGAATGTTAATATCCTAATCATAAGCCCCAAAAAATGCGCACATTTATATATATACATATTTATAGTTATACACTTCCAATCAAAGTTTTTTTTTTTTTTTTTTTTAATCTCAGATGCTGCATTTACTGTTTGATCACAAATAAAATAAAAGCAATAATGTTGTGAAATATTACAATTTAAAATAACTGTTTTCTGTTTGAACATATTTTAAAATATCATTTAATCCTGTGATGTGAAAGCTGAATTTTCAGCAGCCATTACTCCAGTCTTCAGTATTACATGATTCTTCAAAAATCATTCTTATATGCTGATTTGGTGATTTTTTTTTTATTATTAAAAAATAGGATTGTTTGATGAATAGAAAGTTCAAAAGAATAGCATTAATTCTGAAATAGTAAGAGCTTCTACATTATTATGAAAGACTGTCACTTTTGATCAATTTAATGCATCCTTGTTGAATAAAATTATTTCTTTCAAAAGCATATACCTGTAAGGTGTGAGAACCCAGAAATTAATAGATGTGTTATTATGGCGTTTCAAAAGGTCAAGAATATTATAGTATCATTAAAGCAAATATAAAGCTTGCATAATATGATATAGTTTAATGTTGCTTTATTCATCAGGGAATCCCAAGGAAAATGGGTTTTCCATAGCCTTTGTTCTAAAAGCCATGAAACTCCACAGAAGGTTCAGAGTACACTTCTAATAATTGTTTTCTTGATTCAGGGCTCCTCTATGCTCTAAAGTTTCTGTAAGATACAAAGGTTTCAATGCTGATTACACGCACATAAGCAAGTGACCCATGACACAAGGGTTGTGTGTACATGTGATTTCCTGATTAACACAGAGAAGACAGATGATAAAGAAAGGATGCAGAGGCTATGGGATGGGGCAGAATAAGAAAGAGGTAAAAGACTCATTCCTCCTCTACTCCAGCATCAATAGGTCAAGCCCGGCCGACAGGCTCATTACCATGGCATCACTACACTCCTGTTGCACCATCCATCAGTGTCCCTCCATCAAATAGCTTGCAAACACAGGAACAGCATGCTTACTACTGTCTTCATCCCGTTTCATGTTCTTCATAAACCGTCTCAGAACTAACAACATTCTGCTGGAGAATATTTGTTATTTTACAGTCAAAAATATCAGCATTACCATATTGATGTTCATTCATCATAATATTTTCCACTAAGATCCTTTTTTTTCTTTGTATTTGGTAATGTGTAATTTCAGGAGCTGGTAACAGTACGGGCGAAATTTTGATTAGCGCTTCTGTACCACACACACAAAAATTATTGTTAAATAAAACGATCAAGTATTTTTTATAATACAGATTTATTTTGATTATCAGAAAGCCTGTCAGTCTCTCAGCACATGGTATCAACTGCGGAAAGATGATAATAAAAAAAACTATTGTCTTTGACTATATTGCAGTATCAGTTTGGTACAAAAGTATGGGTACATTTAACTTGTCACACAGCCACTTTTTCATCCAAAACCTGTCATTATTCATATGTATTGTACATGTTTGACTCAACAAGTTAACTAAAAATACTCCCACACATGGTGACTACAAATCTCAGTTTACTAGCCATTACAAACGACAACTTAAAGTCTATGAAAGTGACTATAAAATGCATCAGGGATCTTGTCTGTCTCCCCATTGTTTTTCAGCTGAAGTAATTAAAGGTGTTGTTCA